TGGCCCTTCGGGGAGCATCGTGCTGGAGGTGGTTTATACCCAAATCGCGGGTAGAGCTGTGGCTTGGTGTGGAGTTGCATTACAACCGGGTGTCTGACCCATAGAAAGGCAGGAGTTTTAGATGGGCTCCCCTCCTCATCAAAAAGGCGATCGCGTCCAAATATGTGTGATCGATTGGTACCTGCATTTCGGTGTGGGGGCGTTGCTTGACGCTTTGTATTAACTGGTGTTTATAGCACCGTGGTCCGCAAGGTAGGTACCCACGTACTCTAAGCATCCCTGTTACCGCTCTCCGTGTTCGACCCATTATGTCGATGTCATCGACGTAGGCGAGTAAAATGTGTTGTTTGGTGTACAGAGTGTCATTTCTGTTCACCTTTGCGTTTCGTATGATCTTTTCCAGCAGGATGTTAAAAAGATCACACGACAAACTGTCACCTTGTCTGAATCCTCGTTCGGTATTAAAGGGCTCCCAGAGGTCCTTTCCGACTTTAACTGCTGATCTTGTGCCAGTTAAAGTTATCCTGCCGTATTCATTTTGTAGGAATGCCGAACGTAGACATGGCTTTATACACCTCTGAACGGATAGGGCCACACTTTGAGTGTTGATGATCGACATATGATATACTGATATCAGTTAGTCAGCCAAACAGTCAACGAGCCCGAACCAGCCATCCATCCAACTATGGTTCAGCCACGTTCCCTTCAGTTTCCTATAATTCTTTTAGATAATTCGCAGTTATTTTAATTGCGGTTTTTGTTTTCAATTTTAATTTGTGTTTTTTGCTTTTCATAATATTCATATATTTGTTCACCGGACCTGATCCCCTTTCTTCCCATCCCCCCACCACCATCCAATACGACATTGGATATCACAAAAACCGTAGCTGCAAGAAACATCTGTCAGCTCGGAATGAATGACTGGCTGACGACTGCAGCTGATTTCAATGACTTGGTAAACAGTTTGGTTGTTGCTGTTGTTCGAATGATCGATCATAAAATTATTACTCAGAGTGGAAAGAAAACAAGTGGGAAGGGAGGGAGAGGGTGGGAGAGAGAGGTATTGGAGTATATGGAGAGGTATTGATAATAATAATCGTTGTTCTTTCTTTTTTTAAGAAATTACGTTCTTTTTTCGTCTTGATATCTTTTTTTTTTAATTTTTATTCCAAAAATATAAATAATTTTCCTCTTTGGGGCAGAGCAGAGGAAGAGTGCGAAAATTATCACTTCCGCTATGCTCGCGACGTCATCATTATCATAAATGACCGCCAATTTTTTGTTTTCGTGGGGGTTTATTTTAAAAGGTTTGATGAGGTATTTTTTTTTGGCAAGCCAAAAATATCAAATACATGTTTTTTTTTGAAAAATTTGAAAAAATTTAAATTTAAATTAGAATTTTGAATTGCAAATGACTATTAAAATTTTCCTAAAAAAAATCAATATTAAAAATCGAAATTTTACATAAAAAAACTTAAAAAAATTTTTTTAAAAATTAAAAAAATATTAAAAAAAAAATAAAAAATATTAAAAAAAAAATATTAAAAAAATTAAAAAGTATTAAAAAAAATTAAAAAATATTAAAAAAAAATTAAAAAATATTAAAAAAATATTAAAAAAATATTAAAAAAATATTAAAAAAATATTAAAAAATATTGAAAAAAAATATTGAAAAAAATATTTATATCTAAAAAGCCCAGCTTTTATTATTCTTCCTTTGTATTTGCAATAAAATTCCATTACGTCATTTCAATATTTTTCGTTTTTTTGGAAATAATTAAATGTTGTTGTATTTTTTTGTTTTTGTTGATTTTCGCACGTTTTGAGTGTTAGTTTTACAAACATAACATTATTCGACTGTCTGTCCCGCTGACTGTCTGTTTTTTCATATGATGAACAATCGCTGAATTTATAATCGACATGAAGTTTTGATTTTTTTCGATTTTTTTTATTGATTTGAAATAAATTTAATTTTTTATGGTTTTTATTACAATTGTTGTTCGTTGATTTTTTTTGTAATTTTTTATTATTATTTTGTCAATGGTGTTGTTTAAAAAAAACGACTGATTAAATTCCATTGGGTGGAGTTTGATGCGTCCCAATGTCTGTTGTCCCAACCCTACCAGACATTTTTTTCTCCCATTACAACAACATAGCAAAAAACGATAAGAAATTCTGATGTAAAAAGTTCTCATGTTTGTTTTGTTTTAATTTCGATCAATTTTTTTATAAAAAAAATTTTTTTCGAGACCTATTATAGGCGTGGATTTAAATAAAAAATATTTTTCGAGACCTATTATAGGCGTCAGTATTCTAATAATGATCTAATAACCATTAACATAGGCAATAAACCTACCATTGTTAACAGAATTAGAGAGGATGTATTAGATATAACAATATGTTAAGCAAACTTAATAGATGAGGTCCAGGAATGGAGAGTCTCAGAAGAGTATTCCTTTTCTGAACACAAATATATTATGTTCAAAATTCAACGGCCACCGCCGAAACCCATATACTTCCGAAACAAGTGCGAAACTAACTGGATATGGTTTGGGAGACTAGTCTAGGATAGTTTAGGGCAACCTAATTATGAGTGCCTAGACACGAATGACATAGACAGGAATGTCAACAAATTAACGGAAGTAATTGTAAAGGATTTCGAAGAAAGTTGTCCTCTTCGAGAAAGGAGATCAGCCTTTGAAAAACCCTGGATGACAGCGGAGATTCGGAACAAAGGAAAAGAGGTCCGAAAGCTTTACAATAGAGCACGCCATAAAAAATTCTACAGTTTTCTGTGACAACTTCCGCGATAAACAATAAATTGACAAGAACCGCCAAACGCAACCCCTAGAAGCTGTTCTGCGAACAGGTAGATGGTGTCAACGACGTTTCAAAAATCAAGAAGTTTGTATCGAAGACCCACACCCAACCCGAAACTATGGTAGACGGTGAGGGTAATAGTTTAGAAACAATCGAGGAAACACTATGGTTCCTAATGAATGCTCACTTCCCATCGAACACATCGACAATGGACGATGTCATGGCAGATAGGGAAGAAAGATCAGAGGAACCTATTATCGACAATTCAATGGTGTTAGAAGCCTTAAAAAGTTTCCAACCATTGAAAGCGGCAGGACCGGATAACGTCTTCTCAGCGTTACTACAAAAATAGGCGGAATTTTTATAACCACATTTAGCCGCACTCTTTAATGCATATTTAAGGTTGACGTACACACCGAAAGCCTGTCAGGCAATCGAGGAAACACTAAGGTTCCCAATGAATGCTCACTTCCCATCGAACACATCGACAATGGACGATATCATGGCAGATAGGGGAGAAAGATCAGAGGGACCTATTATCGACAATTCAATGGTGTTCGAAGCCTTAAAAAGATTCTCGCCATTGAAAGCGGCAGTACCGCATAACGTCTTCCCCGCGTTACTACAAAAAGAGGCTGTATTTTTATCACCACATTTAGCCGCACTCTTTAATGCATGTTTAAGGTTGACGTACACACCAAAAGCCTGGCACGAAGCCAGGGTAGCCTTCATACCCAAGCCCGGCATGGCAAACTACTCCACACCAAAACGTTTCCACAACAGAGGGGTCTACGATCCTAAACGACCCGAGTTTTTCTCGGCCAACGTCTGTCACCTCAGTCCATTGTGTAAAAGCAATAGGGCTTCTACAACAACAACTCCACACCAAAATCATATCGGCCAACAGGCCTAACTTCTTTCCTACTCAAAATCATGAAACGTACAATCGATACCATGATAAAGAGCGGTGTACCCAATGATGCGCTGAAATACAAACAACATGCGTATGTAAAGGGGAGATCAGTGGAAACCGTTTTACATGTGGGCACCTTCGCTGAGAAGAGTAATTTTAGACAAGAAACTTAAATGGACAGCAAAGGACTGACAAGGCCCATAGATGCTGGTATTTCTTTAGAAGAGCCGTAGGCTCTAAATGGGGTTTAATTTTACAGGCAACTACTGAGTCAACAATCAATACCTTTGATTCAGACCGCATACCTGAAACGAGAGTAGTAACACGGTGCGAAACTATAATACCAGATAAAGAACAATGGAATTGTGTAACACTGGTTAAGATGCCGCCTGGTAACTGTTGCTACACAGATGGCTCTCGACTAGGAGGAAAAACTGGACTGGGACTTTTTATAGAAGAAATAGGTAACGAAATTTCCCTTCGGCTTACAGATCATAGCACGATCCGTTGGGAAAATTAGGGGACAGGAAAAATCACCAAAATCTTATGGGGTGACCCAAGTGAAGACAAAACTAAGCAAATCCTAACGCTAAACAAAAAAGAAATAAGCCGACTAACGGGTATTCTAACGGGACACCTTAGCCTGAAGGCACATCTACTTAAGATTGGAATACAGAAGACAGTGAAACGCTGGAACATTTTCTGTGCCATTGCCCAGCATTTACAAGCCTTGGGAAATAATTCTTGGGAAATGACACTCCTCACGGACTAACCGATCTGAGGGGAATACGGAACTCCTAGATTCATAGGAAATCAAACCCAAATGCTTTTTTAATATAAGCTTTCACTAATTCCAACTTTCTCCGCTATTCTAGAGCGCACAACAGGCCTCATTTGGCTTATTTGTATGTCCATCTTCTGTTGTCTTTTCAACCTAACCTAAACATTATAGGCGTGGATTTAAAAAAAATATTTTTCGAGACCTATTATAGGCGTGGATTTTTTGAAAAATATTTTTTTAGGATATTTGCTCCAAGTTATTGATGTCGTCTCTCTCCTTTAATAAATATTTTTTTTTAAATATATTTTTTCAATATTTTTCTAAATATTTTTAATATTAATTTTTTTTCATTTTTTAATCTTTCAAATATATTTTTCTAATTTTTCAAGTATATTTTTTGCATTATTTTTTATTAAAATTTTTTAATTAAATTTATTATTCCTTAATAATTAAAAAAATGTTTGCTTTTTCTTTTCTTTCTTCCAGGACCAATGTGCTGGAACAGGAGATGCGCAACCCCTATAGCATTTGCAATGTCGACTGCCTGCTAGACACTGTGACGGCTCTGGTGAATGACTGTGATCATGAGTCACTGAAGCGGCTGAAAAATATCGAACAATATGCCGCGAAATGTGAGTAAATAAACAAACGAACAATCTGTGGAATGTCTGTCCGTCCGTCTGTCTGTCTGCCTTATCAATTTAATTAGGAATGGTTAAAAAAGCGAAGCAACAACAACACCAATGAAAAAAAAAAAAACATTATCTGTCATCTAGAAAATGTTTTGTGTGGGGGGGAACCCTCATTTTGTTCCATTAGAAAGTAGGTGAGACAGATACAATAAATATTTTTTCTTACCGGGTCATCAACAAAATATCCGCTAGATATGAAAGATCCAAGAAAAAAAAACATTTAAAAAAATCTGATTTATAGATTGGGACTTGAAAACAATTTTTTCCCAGGTTCGAATATATGGGAGTTCTCCGCAACTTTGGGCTCTCAACACAAGGAGAACCGATAATTATAACCGATTTGGTTTAGAAACCAATGTGGAATATTTTAAATAATGAAAAATAGAAGATACCTTAATATAGGGTCTATATCCCAAAACTTGTGACAAGATTTATAATTTTTAGTAGGAAGATATTTTACACCATGAACACACAAAATATTAAATTGCAGCCAAATTGGTTGAATGACAGTCCCAAATTCCTCAAAAATAATGGTTCGGTTATATGAGAGCTAACCCGGAACTTGAGCCAAAATTCATAATTTTTTGTTACAATATTAGTTAACCAAGGAGAACCCATATTATCAAATTCCAGCCAATTTGGTTGAAATACAAGACTAAAATGCATGAAAAATGTTGGTTCGGATATATGGTGGCTACCCCGGAACTTAAGTCAAAATTCTTAATTTTTGGTAGAACCCATTTTCAAATTGGTTGAAAAACAATTTATGTTCGTTATATGAAGGAGAACCCATATTTGTTAATTTTTGAGTCGGAAACTTTTCGGTTATTCAAAGAAACAAAACCAAATTTCAGATAATTCGGCTGAAAAACATACCCAAAATCCCCAATATTAAATGTTCGGATATATGGTGGCTACCCCGGAACTTGAAAAATGTAGGTTCGGATATATGGGACCTAGGTTAGGATATATCCGGAACTTGAGCCAAAATTTATAATTTTTGGTAGGAAGATTTGCTACCCCCGGAGAACCCATAATACCAAATCATAGCCAATTCGGTTGATAAACAAGGCCAAAATATCGAAAAATGTTGGTTCAGTTATATGGTGGCTACCCCGGAACTTGGGCCAATATTGATAATTTTTGGTACGACGATTTGCCACCCAATGAGAACCCATGATATCCAATTTAAGCTCATTCAATTGGAAAATGTATTCAAAATCCCCAATACACCAAATAATTGAGGTTAAGTTATATGGGGTCAACACCAAAAAAGTGAACCGATATTGATCATTTTTGGTAGGACGATTTGCCACCCAAAGAGAACCCATAATACCAAATTACAGCCACTTCGGTTGAGAAACATTGCCAAAATAACGGATAATAAAGGTTCGGATATATGGGGGCTACCCCAAAGAGTGGACCGATATTGATAATTTTTCGTGGAAAGATTTGCAGCTACCCTAAGAGAATCGAGAATTCCAAATTACAGCAAAATCAGTCCCTTTTTTCTTAATTTGGGAGGTTCGGTTATATGAGGGCAACACAAAAATAGTGGACCAATATCGACAATTTTTGTTAAATATATTTTTTACGCCATGAGAACTCATAACACCGAATTACACTCAATTCAGTTAAGAAATGTGCTCAAGATCCCCAAAATAGTGAAATTTGTAAGATACCGCCATATGTGGACTAGACCAAAATCGTGTACCGATATATTCCATTTTCAGTACGAAAACATCCTATGTGTAGTAGCAATGTTGTGAGTAAAATTTCAAGGGTCTATATAAAAATATAGAGAACTCTGAACCTTAACTTACTGGAAGGGTCTTGAAAATATATGCTTCAAATATTGGTTCCCTCTCCCCATTATCACTTTTTGTTTTTTATAATTCCCTCTTTGTTTTCTTTATTTATTAAATTCCGTTCTTCTATCTCTTTTCCAGATAAACCCCTGGCTCAACAAATCTGCCAGCTGCGCATGAATGTCGATGATTTTGATTTTATCAAAATTATTGGTGCTGGAGCCTTTGGCGAGGTGCAGCTGGTACGCCACAAATCCTCCCGCCAAGTGTACGCCATGAAGCGTCTCTCAAAATTTGAAATGATGAAGCGTCCCGATTCGGCATTCTTTTGGGAGGAACGACACATTATGGCCCATGCCAATTCCGAATGGATTGTTCAGCTGCATTTTGCCTTTCAGGATGCTAAATACTTGTATATGGTTATGGATTATATGCCGGGTGGAGATATCGTGTCCCTTATGTCAATGTATGAAATTCCCGAGAAATGGGCCATATTCTATACAATGGAAGTGGTCTTGGCCCTGGATACGATACACAATATGGGTTTTGTACATCGTGATGTTAAGCCGGATAATATGTTGCTGGATCGTCATGGTCATTTGAAATTGGCAGATTTTGGTACCTGTATGCGTATGGGCCCCAATGGTTTGGTTGTGTCCAGTAATGCTGTCGGTACACCGGATTATATTAGTCCGGAGGTGTTACAGAGCCAGGGTGTGGATAATGAATATGGGCGGGAATGTGATTGGTGGTCGGTGGGTATTTTCCTGTATGAAATGCTGGTGGGCGATACGCCCTTCTATGCCGACTCCTTGGTGGGGACATATGGCAAAATTATGGATCACAAGAACTCGTTGAATTTCCCAGCCGAAGTGGAGATTAGTGAGAATGCCAAGAGCCTGATACGAGCATTTCTCACCGATCGTACACAGCGTTTGGGTCGTCGGGGTATTGATGAGATTAAGGCCCATCCATTCTTTCAAAATGACACATGGAGTTTTGATAACATAAGGGAAAGTGTCCCGCCCGTTATACCCGAATTGTCTTCCGATGATGATACAAGGAATTTTGAGGATATTGAAAGGGATGAAACGCCCGAGGAGGTATTCCCAGTGCCGAAGAATTTCGATGGCAATCATTTACCATTTATAGGGTTCACCTACACCGGAGATTATCAGCTCTTGTCGAACAATGATACCGTCGATGCCAAGGAGAATAATATGAACTCCGTAAATCATAATCATCGGCATCGACCCTCCAATTCGAATGAAATTAAACGTTTAGAGGCTTTACTGGAGAGAGAGCGTAATCATGTGGAAACCCTAGAGAAGCAGGACAAATCCCTGCGGCAACAATTGGAGCTGATAAGCCAAAGAGAAACGGAACTGCAGAGTATGGCTTCGGAATATGAAAAGAATTTGGCCATAACTCAACACAACTATAAAATGGCTTTGCAGAAGTTCGAACAGGAAATTGAGTTGAGAAAGAAGACCGAGATTCTGCTGGCGGAGACCCAGAAAAATCTCGATAATGAACAGAAAATCAGGACACGGGAAATGAATAACAATCAGCACCACAATGAGAAGATTCTCACCCTGGAGAAACAACTTAAAGAGATGGAAGAGAATTTCAAAAATGAAACGGAAAATGCCCAGAAGTTAAAGAAGCAGGCAGCGGAATGGGGTCTCGCCAAACAGGAACTGGAAGCAAAAATAGCCCAATTAAATTTGATGATCACCAGTCTACAGGGTCAGAAGGAAACCCTGCAGCAGGAGGTTGCCGAACTCCAAGCCCAATTGGCGCAAGAGAAAAATTCCCGATCCCAATTGAAGGAACTGCAAAAAGAAACGGAAAATAAACTGCAATCGATTGTAAATGATTTGGAAAGGGCCATACAGCGGGAACAACAAGCCTATGAAGATAATCGGATCCTCAATGAAAAAATCTCTGATTTGGAAAAGGCCCATGCCGGCTTAGATTTCGAATTGAAGGCTGCCCAGGGCCGCTACCAACAGGAGGTAAAAGCTCATCAAGAAACCGAAAAGTCACGCATGCTTAGTCGCGAGGAGGCCAATCTGCAAGAGGTCAAGGCCCTGCAAACCAAACTTAATGAAGAAAAATCGGCACGCATTAAATCCGATCAAAATTCTCAAGAAAAAGAACGACAGCTCTCCATGCTCTCTGTCGACTATCGGCAAATCCAGCAGCGTCTGCAGAAACTCGAAGGTGAATGCCGCCAAGAGGCCGAAAAGGTATCCGTCCTGCAATCCCAACTCGATCAGGAATATAGTAAAAAGAATTCCCTACTCTCCGATCTGAGTTTAAAGAGCTCCGAAGTGGCCCATCTCAAGTCACGAGAAAATCAACTGCAAAAGGAGCTCACCGCCCTGCGGGAGAACAAACGTAAATACGAAGAAGATATGGCCCAGCTGAAAATTTCCCTCAACAAAGAGATCCTTCAAAAGAAGGAGTTGCAAGATCAGTTGGATGCTGAGCAAATATTTTCCCGCCTCTATAAAGCCCAGGCCAATGAACATCGTGAAGAGATTGAGGAACGTTGTCGTGAAATTCAAGACCTCAAAGAGGAACGTATCTCGCTCAAACATCAAGTCCAGGTGGCTGTGGCCCGAGCCGACTCTGAAGCCTTGGCACGTTCCATTGCCGAGGAAACAGTGGCCGATTTGGAAAAAGAGAAAACCATCAAGGAATTGGAACTGAAAGATTTCATGACAAAACATCGCAATGAAATTGCGGCCAAGGATGCTCTGCTCAACGCCGCCAAGGAAACGGAGTCCGACTATGTTAAGAAACTCAATCAAAAGAATTCCGAATATGATGAACTGCAGCAACAGAATAAGAAACTGCAAGAGGAAATTGTCCAAGTGAAGACAACGAAAGAGGAGGAGATTGGTAAACTCAAGGAGAAATGGAAGACGGAAATGTTGCTGAAACAGGTGGCCGTTAATAAATTGGCGGAGGTTATGAATCGACGTGATACCGATTTGAAACGTAAGTGTGAAGAAAATTCAAAAAATTCTTAAATTTTTTAAAAACATTTTAATTTCCTCTTTCTTTGCAGAACAAAAAGGCAAAGCCCGCTCATCGGCCGAGCTGCGCAAGAAAGAAAAGGAAATGCGTCGCCTACAACAGGAAATGCAACAAGAGCGTGATAAATACAATCAATTGTTACTTAAATATCAAGATCTGCAAAGTCAGGCCATTGAAGACAGTCATGTAAGTCAGACAATTGATTTTCCGAACTCTGAATATAATAATTAATTCCTTGATCCGTTTCTCTTCATTGCAGATTAAACAAAAACTCCAAATGGAAATCGATTGCAAAGCAACCGAAATTGAAAAACTCCAATCGAAACTTAATGAAACAGCATCCTTGTCATCTGCCGACAATGATCCCGAAGATAATCAAGTTAGTGTTCGCAATGAAAACTTTTTTACTAACAATTTAATTTTCTATACAACAACATCATCATCACAACAACAACAAACACATATTAACCAAAAAAACTTTTCTCTTCTCGTTCTTCTCTTTCTATGCTATCTCTGCTACCATCCAACAAACCTCAACATCAAAAACAAATTCATTACATTGCAACAACAATTTGGCCAACAACACCATGAACTCAAAAAAAAATGCTTCATCATCATTTTTTTTTATTTTGTCATCTGCCAAAATCCATCATTTCTTGTTTTGTTTTGCTCTCTCAGAATTCATCTCTGCTTTCACTTACACAGGATTCGGTATTTGAGGGCTGGCTGAGTGTGCCCAATAAACAGAATATTCGACGCCATGGCTGGAAGCGTCAATTTGTTGTGGTATCATCGCGCAAAATTATATTCTATAATTCGGAAATCGACAAACAGAATACCATTGATCCTGTGCTAATATTAGATTTAAGGTAAGTACAAAAAGAAAACCAGTAAGGAAAGTAGTGAAGTCGGACGGGGCCGACTATATGATACCCTTCACCACTATGGGTATATTAAACAGGACTAATAACATGAAATTGGATGAAATAAAATATGTGATATTTATCTAAATGTGAATCTACCTAGATCTATCCATAAACTATGTAAATCGACTTCAAACAAATATAAATAGGTCATCCGTTGGGCTATGTCTGTACTTCTAATAACGCAACTACGTAATTTTATGCTCAATTTTGTAAGTTGTGCAAAATTTGATGTCAATCTGACTTCATGAGGAGTTTGATGCCCAATTTACTTGAAATCGGGCGAAAATATATATGGAAGCTATATCCAAATATTAAGCGATTTCAAACAAACATGTCACAGGTTAGGTTATAGTAATTTCAGAACGTTTTGTTCCTATCAGCCTATTGGTTCCTTGGTGCGTCAATTACTTAAACTCAATCTATAATAAAATATATGTGGACTTTGGTGCACCATTTACATGAAATCCAACGAAACTATATATGGGAGCTATATCTAAATCTGGACCGATTTTCACGAAACAAGGTAGACATCACTCTAGGCTTAATTCAGTACGTTATGCCAAATTTCGTGCAAATCGAAAGATTTATAGCGACTTTGGTGTACCATTTACATGAAATCGGCCGAAACTATATATGGGGGCTATATCTAAATCTGGACCGATTTTCTCGAAACTTAGCAGACATCATTCTAGGCTCAACTCAGTACGTTATGCCAAATTTCGTGCAAATCGAAGGATATATAGGGACTTTGATGCACCATTTACATGAAATCGGACGAAACTATATATGGGAGCTATATCTAAATCTGGACCGATTTTCACGAAACTTGGCAGACATAATTCTAGACTTAAATGATTAGGCTGTACCAAATTTCGTGCAAATCGAAGATATATAGGGACCGTTTACATTAAATCGGTTAAATATATATATGGGAGCTATATCTAAATCTGAACCGATTTTTCCCAATTTCAATAGGGTTCGTCCTTGGGCCGAATAAGTGACGTATGCCAAATTTCATCCAATTCGGATCGTAAATGCGACCTGTACTTTTTTTTACTATTTAACATGCACAGACAGACGGACGGACATGCATAAATCGACTTAGAAAGTGATTCTATACATATTCTCAAAAGTTTGAGAAAAAATCTTTAAAAAACAAAATCACCGGGATAACGCTTGAAAAAATTCTTTAAAAAATCCCCACCCATAGGGGAGATAGCCCATGAAATAAATCCTTAAAAAAATCCAACCCATAGGGGAGATAGTTGTTGAAATACATTTTTTAAAAATCCCCACCTATAGGGGAGATGGTCCTTGAAAAAAAATAAACATTAAAAAGTCCTCAGCCATAGGAGAGATGGTCCTTGAAATAAATACTTTAAAAAATCCCCACCCATGGGGAAGACAGTTCCTGAAGTAAATTCTTTAAAAAATCCCCACCCATAGGGGAGATAGTCCTTGAAATATATTCTTAAAAAATACCCACGCATAGGGGAGATAGTCCTTGAAATAAATTCTTTAAAAATCCCCACCTATAGGGAAGATGGTCCTTGGAATAAATTGTTTAAAAAATCCCAAGGACTATCTCCCCTATTAGTGGGGATATTTTTAAAGAATTTATTTAAAAATATATCCCATCTATAGGTGGAGATTTTTAAAGAATTTATTTTAAAAAATCTCTCCACACATAACTATCACCCCTATAGTTGGTGGCTTAAATTCCTTAAAAAATCTCCCCCTATAGGTGGGATAGTCCTTTGAAATAAATTCTCAAAAAAAAATCCACGATTAAAGCTGCGATAGACCTTAAAATAAATTCATTAAAAAATCATCACCTTTTATTGATTTTACTAATGCTTCTTCTTCTTGATCTTCCAGCAAAGTATTTCACGTACGTTCAGTAACTCAGGGTGATGTTATTAGAGCCGATGCCAAAGAGATACCGCGCATATTCCAATTATTATACGCCGGCGAGGGTGAGGCCCGCAGACCCGATGAACAACAGCAATTGGATATGAGTATGATAAGGGGTGGTGCAGGTGATGAAAGACCAGGATCCATAATACATAAAGGTACGGAACGATCTACAATAAAATATAATAAATAAAAAAAAATTTAATGGATCCCCTTTCCTCCGTTTTCTAGGCCATGAATTTGTGCATATAACCTATCATATGCCAACAGCTTGTGAAGTATGTCCTAAACCCTTGTGGCATATGTTTAAGCCGCCGGCGGCGTATGAATGCAAAAGGTAAGTATTGATGCGTAATATCTTCCCAATCTTAAATAAAAATCTCCTCTCTTTTTTTTGCCCTCAGATGCCGCAATAAAATCCACAAGGAACATGTCGACAACAATGATCCTTTGGCCCCGTGCAAACTTCATCATGATCCTCATAGTGCCAGAGAAATGCTTTTGTTGGCCTCCACGCCCGATGAACAAAATCTCTGGGTATCACGTCTCTCTAAACGTATCCAAAAATGTGGATATAAGGCAAATTCCTCATCAAATAATAATAGCAATAATTCAGATGGTAGTAAAATATCACCAAGGTAAGTTGTGGAACCTTTTTTTGTAATTGGGGAATTTTAATTTTTTTCTGTTTGTTTTTGGGATACTCTAAACATTTGTATTTGTATTTTTTTTTTCGTCTGTGTTTTTGTAAATAATAAACATGTTGCTTTTACTTTATAAATCTTTTGGGTGCAAAACATAGAGAATTAAACCAGTAAATAAAAATAAAAAATAGAAGGGATAACCCTTGAAAAATCCTTCAAAAAATCCACTCCTTTAGAAGGTATAGCCCTTGAAATGAAAAAAAATCCACGTCTTTAAAAGGGATAGCCCTTGAAATATCTTCTTTAAAAAATCCCCACCCATAGGGGAGATACTTAATAAGTGCCCAACCATACGAGAGATTTCCTTGAAAGAAGATGATCCCTGAAATAAATTGTTTAAAAATCCCCACCTATATGGAAGATGATCCTTGAAATAAATTATTTAAAAAATTCATTTAAAAATCCACGCTTAAAGGCGATGTGGCCCTTGAAAAAAAAATCATTTAAAAATCCACGCTTAAAGGCGATGTGGCCCTTGAAAAAAATTATTTAAAAAATTCATTTAAAAATCCACGCTTAAAGGCGATGTGGCCCTTGAAAAAAAATCATTTAAAAATCCACGCTTAAAGGCGATGTGGCCCTTGAAAAAATTCATTTAAAAATCCACGCTTAAAGGCGATGTGGCCCTTGAAAAAATTCATTTAAAATCCACGCATAAAGGCGATGTGGCCCTTGAAAAAAATTCATTTAAAAATCCACGCATAAAGGCGATGTGGCCCTTGAAAAAAAATCATTTGAAAATCCAAGCTTAAAGGCGATGTGGCCCTTGAAAAAAATTCATTTGAAAATCCACGCTTAAAGGCGATGTGGCCCTTGAAAAAAATTCATTTAAAAATCCAAGCTTAAAGGTGATGTGGCCCTTGAAAAAATTCATTTAAAAATCCACACTTAAAGGCGATGTGGCCCTTGAAAAAATTTCATTTAAAAATCCACGCTTAAAGACGATGTGGCTCTTGAAAAAAAATCCAAGCTTTAAAGCGATGTGGCTCTTTAAAAAAAGTAATTTAAAAATCCACGCTTAAAAAAATTAATTTAAAAAACCTCGCTTAAAGGCGATGAGGCCCTTGAAAAAAATGAATTTAAAAATCCACGCTATAGGTATAGCCCTTAAAAATTCACGCTTAATGGCGATGTGGCCCTTGAAAAAAATTAATTTAAAAATCCACGTTTAAAGGCGATGTGGCACTTGAAAAAAATTCATTTAAAAATCCACGCTTAAAGCCGATGTGGCACTTGAAAAAATTCATTTAAAAATCCACGCTTAAAGGCGATGTGGCTCTTGAAAAAAAATAATTTAAAAATCCACGCTTAAAAGCGATGTGGCCCTTAAAAAAATAATTTAAAAATCCACGCTTAAAGGCGATGTGGTCCTTGAAAAAAATTAATTTAAAAAACCTCGATTAAAGGCGATGAGGCCCTTGAAAAAATGAATTTAAAAATCCACGCTTAAAGGCGATGTGCCCCTTGAATAAAATCAATTTAAAAATTTTGAAGGGAAATACATTATTTAAAAATCCCCGCCTTTTGAAGGGATAATCCTCGAAATAAATTCTCTAAAAATTTAAAAAATCCACACTTATTCCATTGAAAAATATTTTTTTTTTTCAAATTTATATTTTTAAATGTGGTTTAATTCTCTACGTTTGTATCACAATAAAAATCAACTCAATACAGTTTTATAAAATAAATAATCATCTTAATTTTTTCTTTATTCTAAAACAAACAAATCATCATGCTTTTATATATCTATCTATGTGTGTGTGTTGCGTCTATATCATGGGTTTTTATCAATAATAAAAAAATCGATAATAATTGTCTTTCTCTAAAAATACATCATAATTGGTAATTTAATTTCTTTCTCATCATTTAATATTTAATTTTCTTTTTTTGTTTTCTTCATTAAATTTCTTCCATTTCTGTTGCTGCTACTCTTGTTACTGCCAACAACAATATCAACACTACCAAATACCAACTCAATCTACCTACCCATAATTGTGTTTTGAACTACTACTACCATTATCATCATCATCGCCATTGAAATCATCATATCCTACATATAATATATCATAACCTCAAAACACACCACACATCCAATATTATCCTCTAACTACTACTGTCGTTCAAACCAAAAAAAAAATGCAAACCATCCCAATCTGAACATTTGCCAACCAACCAGCCAATCAACACGTTCCAATTATAAGCCATATGCAGTTAATGTACAAAGATCAGCTACGCTGCCAGCAAATTCATCATTAAAACAGTGATTAAATTTTATTTTTTATTATCATTAATTATTAATTTTTATTTTTAAATTATATAAAATATAAATATTATTATAGTATATCTGTATGTGTGTGTATTTTTTTAATTTTTATTTTTTAAAAAATTCCATTTATTTTCTAATAATATATAATTTTTCCATTCCTGTAATTTTTTTAATTAAATTAAATTTAATTTTATTATTTAATTTTAATGTTATTTTTTTATTAATTTTAAACAAAAACAACAAAAAAAATAATTTAAAAATTAAACGAGATAAATAAGATAATTTTTTCTTACCCCCCAAAAAAACTTAACGCTGCTGTTTTGTAATATTTTCTGTTTTTATTTTTTTATTTCATTAGTTAATTAAAAAGCAAAACTTTATGTTTAACAGAATTTCGATTTTATTTGTTTTTATTTATTTTTTTTTGTTAAAGAAGATTTTTTTATTTGAATTGTAATGGGTTTATTTTGAAAAAAAAAAAATTAAAGAAATCATTTAAAATCCACGCTTTAAGGCGATGAAAAAAATTATTTTAAAAATCAAAGCTTTAAAAGCGATGTGGCCCTTGAAAAAAAAAATCATTTTAAAATCCACACTTAAAGGCGTTGAGGCCCTTGAAAAAAAAAATTAATTTAAAAATCCATCCCTCAAGACGATTTGGCCCTAAAAAAATAATTCAAAAATCCACGCTTAAAGGCGAGTGGCCCTAAAAAAATAATAATTTAAAAATCCGCTCTTAAAGGCGAGTGGCCGTTAAAAAATATAAAAATAATTTAAAAATCCACGCTTAAAGGCGATGTGACCCTTAAAAAACATTTTAAAATTCAAGCTTAAAGGCGATGTGGCCCTTGAAAAAAATTAATTTAGAAATCCACGGCCCTTGAAAAAAAATAATTTAAAATTCCAAGCTTAGAGGCGATGTGGCCCTAAAAAAATTAATTAAAAAATCCACGCTTAAAGGCGATGTAGCCCTTGGAAAAAAAATTAATTTAAAAATCCCCGCTTAAAGCCGACGTGGCCCTGGAAAAAAAATATTTAAAAAATTCACCCTTAAAGGCGAACTGGCCCTTAAAAAATCATTTAAAAATCCACGCTTAAAGGCGATGTCGCCCTTGAAAAAAATTAATTTTAAAGTTCACGTTTAAAGCTGGGATAGTCTCCAAGCTTAGAGCTAGGATATCCTTCAGAAAATATAATTTAAAAAAATTTCCCGTTTAGAGCTGAGATAGCCCTTGAAATAAATGCATTAAAAACTCATTTACGAGGCGAGGATTATATATTAGATGGTACTTGAAAAAAAACATTTTAAAATACACGCCGATAGGAGAGTTCGGTCTTGATAGAAATGCATTTAAAAATTCAAACTTTAATATGGGATGACCCCTGAAAACCATTGCTTAAAAATCCACGCTTGTAGGGAGGATTTTCCAAATTATGTTCGCAGTTGATCTCTACATGACACTTTATTTACAGATTGAATTCTGTGTGCTTCTGGAAACGATATGGACCAATGATTGCTTTTGAGAATATGCATAGAATCACTTTCTAGATATAGCTCCCATATATATTTTCGTCCGTCCATTTTAAATTTAAACAAAAATGCAATTTGAAGCCATTAAAAATTTGGTCGATAGCTCAATTAAATTGCACAAGGATACTACTCCATTTAACAAGATTTCTAGATTTCGAATATATATATATATATATTTTTTCCTTTTTGCGTCCATTGAAGCTAGTATTTGGGTTTTTAGTGATCGTTTACATATATATATATATATATATATATCCGATTTTATGTAAATGACAGTTTTGCGTCCATTGAACTATTTACATACACCATATATAATGTCGCCATTTATTTCTGACTTTGAAATGTGATTTTATTATCATACCATTATTTTTTATCTTCTTCCCATTGAAATCATATAACACAGTGGAAATCACAGTAGTTTATAGAAAATCTTCATTTCATACCCATTTGAATATTGTCCGCCTAGCAATGTCCTTTGTCCTTATTTTGAAACATTGAAAAAATTATTATCTGGGATTCTGGAATTCTACATAGTGTAAATATACATGTGATTTGATTCTTCGTTCAAAATTCATTAAAATCGTTCTTTGTTTCTTAGGAGATTTTTTAAATTCTTTTCGATATATATTTTTTTCTCTGTCCTGTCCCGTTGTTGTATTATTTTGCTTTCATCTGGTTTCCTTTTTTGGATTGGTATATTTTCTCTCTCCTTTTTTTAAATATATCCCTTAAAATTTAATTCATTTAAATTGAAAACCATCTATTTATTAAATTGAAAATCTTTACAGTTACAGTTATAAACGAAGTGTTTCGTATAATGTCAAATCGACAGCATATCAAAATCGTCCGATGACCCCCACAACGAAATCAATGCAAAAAATGTTTTTGGAAACGTTCTTTTAGAAAAAAAAAAAATGAAAATATATTGATGCAGGTTACAAATTTACGATTTTATTAAAATATATCTTATTCATGACTTTATTCTACCAACATTAAGAGGCACAAGCTGTAAATATTTGCTGTTTTTTTTTCTAAAAAAAATTTAGCTTTCAAAAATGTATATTTTAAAAGATATATAGCAGACATATGTTTTTTAAAAATTCTTTGCCAAAAATCATTTAAAATTTCTATCCGATC